CTGGAGAGAGGGACTAAGTGGGTGGAACCCTTTCTAGAGCTGGTGCTAGGCAGAGAGGCCATGATCAAGCAGCCTGCCTGTCTTCCAGTCCCTGATCCCTAGCCCTGCCTCCAGCCTCCACCCTGTGCACCTTAAAAGGGTCCTTAATGAAGGGCTCCTTAAAAGCCATTCCAAACCCTAGGGCAAGGGCTTTTTCCAACCCAGTGTCCAATAAGACATGACAGGGGGCCTGTGGGCAGCTGGATCAGGTTGGAGACTCCTCAGGCCCTACCCAGGTCTTAGGGTGGGGCTCACCCTAGAGGATGGTGGAGACAACCACTAGCAATAAACCTCATTGACCCCGAGTTCCCAGTTTTAAACCAACACTGCCTAGCCTCAAACACTATTCCCAGGACTGGAAGAGAGGCCTGTTTTCAGAACTCTTGCTGGGGCTAACTTAGTGTCCAATCCCAGGTCCCCTCTGGCTCTGGTATAGTAGCCAAGGGAGGAGGCCAAGGCATCCATGGGAGCCGCAAATAGGCAGCCAGTGGTGCAGCAGGCTCATCTGCAGATGGGGCTTGTCATAGGGGTGAGGTCACAAATCTAGGCTTAAGGCTGCCTTGGACGGTCAGCTTCTGGTCTGCTAAAAGGGGCCGAAGCGGCCCCGGCAGGCCAATTGTGGGGCACAGGGCTAGGCAGGATCAGTGCGGGCAGCCACCCAGCACCCAATGGGCCCAGCGCCCCCTCCGCACCACCCCCACCCACCGGCACAGCAGCCTGCCAGAACAAGAGCCACTGCAGCGCCTCTGTGCTCAAATGACAGAGCCTTTGTCTCTGCTGAATGGGTGCGTTGCTAGGGCTGCACGTAGCAACAGAACCGCTTCCACCCTCTGGACCCCAACCCTAGTCCGATGATCCCTGCTTCTCTTCCCGGCTCCTCCCAGTCATGCAGCCTGGAAAGGGGGGAGGGCGGGGGAGAGAGGGGCTGCTGGTTTTACGTCCTTTCCAAAAGCTCTGGGACCCTGGGAACTTGCACGCTGGGAGCATGCAGGTGTTCTAACGAAGGAGAAACTGAGTCTCAGGGAGACATGAGGGGCAGGCCGGAGTATCAGGGTCTCCTGCAAGCCTCTGTTCTCAGACTAATCTTGGCCAGCTCTGCCAGCCCCTGCCCAAAGGGTCATGTGAGTTCCTCACAGAGGTTTAGCGGGCATATGTAGGATTTTCATGAGTTCAATAGCCAGAGAACCTCAGCTCATCCTTGGAACCCCAGACTGAATGAAGTGCACAGTTGGCAGCCCCCAGTGAGAGAAAAGGCGTTAGTCCAGCCCTTCCAGTCCTTCTGTCTGTCTTGGACAGACAGACATCTTTCCCAGATGTCCTCTGCAGTGTCTGGTAATAAATTAAGTGCTTATTACCTGGTGTGTGTGTGTGTGTGTGTGTGTGTGTGTGTGTGTGTGTTTGCCTATGCTACTTGGGGGTCCTCCTGGAGTGGGAGGGGTAGAGGTGCAGGGCTATCTGTGAGGAAGGGAAGCCAGATAAGCTGCCAGTTTGACTTTGGGATTCTGCCTTGTCACCAAGGTTGGTAGTTCTAGTCAGCACTTTACAAAACATTTATTTAGTATGTGAATGTGCCTGGTTGTGTGTGGAGGTCAGGGGACTGCTTCTCTGGGTCCGTTCTCTACCCTTCAGGCTCTGGGCATAGAGCCCAAGTCGTCAGGGTTTGTGGCAATTGCTTTAGCCCCTGAGTCATCTCCTCTGCCCAAAAGTTAGCCTGTCCAGCATCTGCATTGTCCCTGACCTAGGCTGTGTTTCCTCACTGCTTGAAGACCACCTTCACCCTAAGTGGCAGACACTGTCGTCTAAGTGCATGGGCAGTGGGTGTGGTCCCAAACACTCAGGTAGTGTTTCTTGGAGGTGCCAGGCATCTCAGCTCATGGCAGCAGGGATTCCCTTGGGGGTGGGTGAATGGCAGCTGAGGAGGAGCCTGTCTGGAAGTCAAAAAGGAAGCAGGCCAGGACACCCATCTCTTTGAAGCCACCAGCCAGGTGCTCATTTCTTTGAGAGTAGGATGGACTTCAGGGCCAGGGGAAGCAGAGATGTGTTGGGCTCAACATTGGGCCTGATGTTGGGGTGGTCCGAGACAGGGGCCAGAAAACAAAGGGCCCAGACTGGGCCTTTGTACTCAAGGTTGCCAGCACCATCCAGCCTGCCTCCCTGAGGCTCCAGAGCTGGGTTAGGGTATGCAGGGCTCAAATGAGAGGACATAATGCGTGAGAAACCCTCAAGAGCCAGTGAGGCACAGACAATACCAGGGGTTTTGGTGGCTTCCTCTCCCAACCCTATGTGGGTTGCTCCTGGGACACAACTTCTGGGGAACATTGGCTCAAACACGAAAGTCCAGGTGTTCAGGCATTTCTTTCTGGGGATCCTGGATGTGGAAGATTTTGAAGTCCTGTCTGTCATTTATAGAATGGGGAACAGCAAGCCCTCTCAGAAGACCTGTGATACAGTCTTGTGCTGGTTTTGGGCATGACACCCTCCGTGCATGTCCATGTCCCTGACATGCACAGGGAATGTCCGTTGTAACCAGAGACATGCAGGGCTGTAGACACAGAGGAAGCTGTGTTCAAGGCATTGAAGACTCTGGGTGATTCACAAGCAGGAAGACAGTAGAGCCCTGCCATTCACTGAGAAGGCAGGCAGAAGCCAGGAGGGTGAAAGGCTTGGCCAGTGGCCCCTTTTCCTGGAATGCCAGCCTTGCTAAGGATCAGCAGAATGCATACTCAGCCCTGGCAGAACTGCCATGGCTCAAGGGTGGAGGGAGGGACATGAAAGGAGGTAGAAGGAACTGGGTCCAAGGTGGCACAAAACCATCTGCACTCTCTTCACATAAGGCCCTTTGGGGCTCAGGGAATAGGACTAAGGGGGTTTTCCAGTCCCTTCATCCTGCACCTCTCTTCCTCCCCCCACACCCTCTGGGCTCCAGCCAAATACAGTCAGCTGGCATCCCTCTCTTCCTTTTATTGTCACACTGTTCTTTCTGCCTGGATTGCCGCTGTTTCTATGAAACTGGTCAATTCCTAGGCACCCTTCAAAACCCAATTTGAATGACCCCTCAGTCATGATGCCTTTCTGTGTGAGTCAAACCAAAGACTTTCTTCTCTCTGGTTCAATTAAATAATGGAACACATTTTGTTAATCTTGTTAAGGCAGTCTTCTTTAAGCCTGGACATTGCCCTGGGACAGGAACAAAGCAGGAGAGGAACATATTTTCTGCCACCTCACTCTAGAGGAAGTACTTTTTTAGTTGTTTTAGAGACCCTGGGTGGACCAAGTGTGGTCCTAGATTAATCAGGTTGGTTAAAGTGGGTGGGAAAGTGGAAGTTTGCACAATGTCTGGCCCCTCCTAACCTGTGTGAATGTGGGGAAACCCACAGAAGTGGCTTTGAAGATAAGGTCCAACAGGACCTGAGGTGCTAGAGCAACAGACTCAGGTGTTGGCCAAGCTCACTTCTGCCACCTAGTGGGATGGAAGGGTGTGGACTCGTTAGCAAGGGTGGGGACACGGCAAAGAAGAAAGGGAGACCCCAGGGTTGGAATCTGTTTCTCCACACTGTTGGAGAAGAACTCTTTTCCTGAATTACACCCCTGCTGGAGCTACTGCAAGGACAGGGAGCTGAGGGAGGGCATTCTCGAGGTGTTCATGGAACAAACGCTTTTTCAATATGGGGGCAGAACTAGCGTGGCAGGGGGAAATGACTTGAGATCCCAGAAAGTCACAGAATTTTCCAAGCCTTGTGTACTCTGGGGTCCTAGGTGCAGGGTGGGACCCAAACCCCAGTTGTTCCTGCTGTCTCTACACTCTGGGCTCTCCAATCTTTTCTTTTCTTTTTCTTTCTTTCTTTCTTTTTTTTTTTTTTTTTTTTTTTTTTTTTTTTTTTTTTTTTTTTTTTTTTTTTTTTTTTTTTTGATTCGGGGTTTCTCTGTGGCTTTGAAGCCTGTTCTAGAACTCGATCCGTAGACCAGGCTGGCCTCGAACTCACAGAGGACTGCCTGCCTCTGCCTCCCAAGTGCTTCCACCTCATTAAAAAAAAATTTCAATGCTTATAGTACTTCCCACAGACCCTCTCCCAGGACCTCTTCCACATTTTTCTCCCAGCTTTGTCTTCCTTAATTTTTATAACTCACTGAGTCCATTTAATGATGCCTGTATGTGCATGAATGTAGGGTCCTCCACTAGGTCACTGGAGTATGGGTAGCCCCCCAGAGCTCACATCCCTGCAGAAATCTGACTCTCCTTCCCCCAGAAACCATCGACAGCCAATAACTCCTTAGACAGAAGTGGAGGGGGTTCATGAGCTCATGCCCCATTTATGCTGGACTGGGCTGGCTTGATCTCATGCAAGTCTTAACAGTGTGTGTGTGTGTGTGTGTGTGTGTGTGAGAGAGAGAGAGAGAGAGAGAGAGATGTGAACATACAAGCACTCAGGCCAGAGGACAACTTACGGGAGTCAGTTCTCTTCTTGTCCATGTGGATTCTAGAGACTGAACCCAGGTCCTTTGGCCTGCCAAGCACCTTTACCTTCTGGGCCATTTTGACAGCTCCCCTCCCCAAAGGTTTGAGCTGAACACAGTTTTTATGGTAGGCAGACCATCACAAACACCCAGAACCTACCCCAGGGACTACACTTTGCTTCAGAATGCAAATTCACAAATGCTACTGGAAACTAATTGCAAAATTTATTTCAGGGCTGCAGGGGTGCAGGGGCTTGTAAGGGCACTTCTTGTTTCGGAGCAGTTGGTCTTGGCCTTGGCAGGGGCACACATTTCAGGGGCAGAGGTGGGGTCTGAGGCAGGGTGGTGGAAGGCAGGAGGCAGCCTTGTCCAGCCGGGCAGGCCTAGCATAAGCTGTAAATCTGATATGATCGCAGGAAGGACAATGGATGCCCAGTCTGGAACAGAGGATGGCTTAGGTCTTCCCCCCACCCCACCCCACCCTCAGTGTCTGGCCCTGAAAAGAGACTTCCAGGATACAAAGCAGAGGTCAGGCAACTGAGGCCAGCTTCTAGAGTTGTGGCAGGAGACCCAAAAGGATGAAGCCATGAGAGGAGAGACTCCTCAGCACTGCCTCCATCTAAAGACTCCTGAGTCCTCCTAGGTTTCCCATATCCCCACCTGCAGGGACTCTAGTGGAGCAGGCAGAGGGCAAGCAACAGCTCTTCTCTGGAGTAAGGTGGGGTACATAAAGATGACCCGATGCCACCCTGACTCTTGGAATGAGATATCAGGAGAAAAAACTTCAGTGCTAATCCCCACATCCCAGCTCAGTCCTCAATCTATCTCCTGCTGTTTCTCTCTCTCTCTCTCTCTCTCTCTCTCTCTCTCTCTCTCTCTCTCTCTCTTTCCTTCCAAGGACTGTCTAGGGGAAAGGAAAAGCAAACACCAAAGAATCCTGGTGACTACAAACTTACAAATAAGTACCAGCCCAGCCAAGGTACAAATGTTGACAACACCAGACTCCTCCTCCCTGGGTGGATAGGAAGATGATTACAACAAAGTCTTTTTTCAGGTAATGAATCAGAATTAGACAGGTGGAGAGCTGGAGAGGGGTCTTTGTACCTGACCCAGTCTCTTGGTACCCTCCAGGGAAGACCCTACCCAATTTAGCAAACTCAGTTTACAACATTGGACTTCCTTCCCTTCTTCAGGGGAGTCTAGAGACCCTCCTCTGCCCTCATTTATGCTGTAGACCTTCCCCTGCCTCTGATTACAGGAGAGAGGGAAAGGATGACCTCTGACCCAAGGAACATCCAGGGAATCCCAAACCTCCTCCCGGGACTTGTACCTCAGATGCCAGGAAAGAATCTGGGGGCAGATGGAGGAAGGAGTGGCTAGAAGCCACTTCCTTGGGGCACTCCAAGTGGCAGGTTTGTGCCAGTGGCTGGTGAAGGCAACCTGCCCCAGGTAGTCCCTGTCCATCTTTGACCCACCATCCCAAGCACACAGCTCCAGAACTCGGGGGCAGGGGCCTAAGGACAGGACTCCTGGATCACCTAATGCAATGAGTCATTTGGAGGCAGTGGCATCCCCACCTACTGCCTGTTTCCAGGTGCCCAGGCTCAAGTCTGCTTGGCCTGCAGCATCTCAATGAGAAGGTTGTTGCGGGGCATCTCATTGCCCAAATGCTTGTGGTACAGGTACTCCTTGGCCTGCATGCTCAGTGCCCTTACTTCCACCAGGCACAATAGCAACTGCTGGAATTTGTCCCCGCAATGCGGGTAGTGACACAAGGTGTAATCCAGCAGGGCAGCGTTGGCTTTCTCCTGGGCATCCTTCACCAGGCTGTGGTTGTTCAGGAATTTCACATCTGCAACGGGAGCAGTCCATCACCCTCCAGTCACTGTGCCACCACCAAAGTTGGGCTGACACTGTCAGCAGTATTACCAACACCACATTCCCAGGGGATACCAAACCTATGGGTACAGAGACTGCCATGAGCCTCTCAATGGCAACCTCCCTATCTCCACCCTGGGACCAGCACATCACTGACATCATTTTGGTTAGTTTCCTAAGCTTGTGCTTCCTTTGATTTTTTTTTTCTTCTCTTTATTTTTGAGACAGGGTCACATAGATCTCCTTCGTTGGCCTGGAACTCACTTTGTAGACCAGGCTGGTCTTGAACTCACAGAGACCCACCTACTTTTCCCTGTCTCCCCAGTGGATTAAAGGCATTTAAAACACCTAAAAATCCCTGTTTTATCACCAGTATGGTCACCACCATCACCAACCAGTAAATCATATCACTAGCTCAGTCATCACTGCTGCTGTCACTATGGATACTTGACAATCACCAAGATCATCATCAACAGCAGCAGGTGCATGGCCAGGTGTGGTGTTTACACCTCTCCATTTTCTCATCTATAAAATGAGATGCACTGGTCCCTCCAGAAATGTAAGGTACTGACTCATGGGAAAACACATCAAAGTCTAGCTGTGGCTAACCCCCTAGCCCCCAGGCATGAACATCACTGTCAAAAGGACCTGTCTTGGGGTGTCAATCCCATGAGTACTCTGGATATGCCCTGGAAAGAGACTCCATAAATTCAGTCCTGGGGTTCTGGAATCAGCTTCTTTGCAGCACTGCTCATGGTGAGGAAGAGGGGCCTAGGTGGCTGTGTGCCAGTTACATCTGGGGAGTTGTAGAATGAACAGACCTAGAGCACATAGAGCCATGTTGAAAAGTGGGGTGCAGTGGGAAGTGAGAGGCAACAGAAGAGCTGGAAGTTTTTAAAGTAAAGCCATTCACATAAATTTAAAATGGTGCTGAAGTGTGGCTTAAAGTAGCCTGTCACACACAGGCCCTGGTTCTCTCCTCTATGCTATCAAAACATGAAGGGAGTGGGAGGAAGGAAGGCAGGCAGGCTAGCTGTCACCACACAGACATGCTGTGTGAGAACAATGGTGACCATGAAGCTGTAGTTAGACATGGAGGACCAGCTCGCTGTTACAGAGAAAGGAGCAGGTGGCAGGAGCTGAAGTGTGAGCAGAGCATCCTTGGGCCTTAGTCCTGGGCTAGACACAAAAGAGGTCTTTGGAGCTGGTTAGGAGCAGCAGCCCTGTGGAAGAGTGCCTCTCTATTCGGCATAAAGGTAACCTTCCTCAGAGAAGGGTGCTGGAAATGGGGTGTTTGGAACCTTTCCTTGTTGGTCAGCTCCCAGCTCCCAGCCTTTTTTAGCTCATGCCCTACCTAGAAGTTTAACATCAGCCCCAGAGCCTATCCTGGCCTCCCTGAGCTGTGGCTTCCAGGGGGTCAGAAGATGGGTCACTCATCTGCTTTGCTCCCTTGATGCACCCCAGTCTTTCCACTGTGGGGAGTTGGGCCAGCATGCGCTCTTGGCCCTCTAATCCCTCTTAACACCCACTGCACCAGGAAAGCTGAGGTGCCTGGCAACCCTGATCCTTGCCACCCCCAGCACACCCCCTGGGGCCTGTGTTGTTCAAAGATGGATTTAGGGAAACCCGAGCTGGGCCTGAGTCGTATGGCAGGATTTGGCAGCTGCTGGCCTCCACCCTGGCTCCCATCACCCTCCAATAAATGAGCCAGAGTCATTTTCTTCCTCTACTCCCTGGGATAGCCACCAGTTCATGAGACATCTTTATGTACTTTAGAAAAAAGCTCCCTCTGGAGAGATATACCTAAATCCAAGCCCAGTCCTTCCCTGCTTCAGTGCCCCTGTACAGTGAAACCAACCCAACTGTACATAGCAACCCGACTCTCTAGCCTGGCTAGCTTCACTGCAGTTAAAGGTGATCATAGGAAGTCAATCCACCAAGTTGGTCTGGAAGCAAGAGATGCCTACTGATCCCATCTGTCCTTGCCTCAATCTTTTCCCCATTCCAATCCCATCTCTGTTCCATCCACTATCATCATCATACTGTCCCTGGGCTAGTCTGACATTCATAACAGGAGAAAGATGGGATCTATCTCAAGGCTACCCAGTAAAGGCGTCCAGAGGGAAGAGTCAAGGTGGAGGAGGATGGACCAGGATGTTACTCAGATAGTGGGGTAGAAAGGGTTGGGGACACTGGGGCTGAGCCTTCCTTGGCTTTACCAGGATTTACTGTTCTCAGCAACAAGCATCAGGGACTCAGGCTGACAGTGGAGTAGAAGGGGGAGGGTGCAAGACAAGGACAGCTTTCAGGGACAGCCCCTCTCCCAGAAGGCCTCTGGTCTCTCAGCTCCCACAAATAAAGACCTCCATGAGGTCATGGATGAAGGCAGCTATAGGGTTGATGGACACCAACAGCATACATAGTGGGTACAGTCCAGAGCTGGGATCACTTGGTGGGCACCCTGATACCTAGTACCCAGCCCTGTTCATCCCCTTAAACATTTAGACCACAGGGGGTACATCACAGTGTGTCTAGACCACCAACGAACACAGGGCAGGATTCAGACCCAATCCTGTTTGATTCCAGGAGCTTCAGGGCAGGGAGGGGCTGGGAACAGCTTCCTCCAGACTCTGGGGCACTGAACCAGATTCTCTCCAAACCATAGGATTTGCCTAAAAGTACCATCCTGGGTCCTAGGTCTGACTTTAGAACTAACTTCTTCCCTACCCAGAAATCACCTCCCCCTATCCCCAGTCCCAAGCTGGTTGTGGAGAGATGGCATATCCCATTGACCCAGAACAGCAGTCCCTTCACATGTCAGGGGCTCACACCCCAGTTCTGCAACCAGAGACCCCCTCTGAACCTCAGTTTCCTATCTCCTATAAGATGGAGCAGGTCAGGATAGGGATCCTCACTGAGTTCCAGCCTGGGGCTTGAGCCTGTAGCACACATCCCTGGAGGCTGAGGTGGGTGGGAGATGGCACTCCACCCTGAGAGCAGCCGCTAGCTTCATGAGCTGGGGGCCCCCAGGATCTCAGAAAAGCCCCCTTTTCACGGTTTAATTGAATATTTGAATAATCCTTTCATTCCAGCGAGGCATAAAGAATGTTGTCCCAATAGCAGTGACTCAGGCAGGCGCCCCCGCGCACAATGGCCCCTCGAGTGGCACTGCTATTCAGTCCGTCTTTTGTTGGCTTGGAGCAGTGGGTAAATTGCAAACGCTTAAGGGAATGCTGCCGTGCGCCTCAATGGGAATCAGGAAATCGAATGTTAGGTCAATCCATTAAGCTTCGATTAAGTCCTCGGCGGAACAATGCCGGCCGGGCCCATCTTCATAAACACTGCGATTGCCAGAAGAGAGGCACTAATTTTAATTAAGCCTCCTTACCTGCCTCTGAGCTGCCCAAGATGCTATTTAGACGCCAAATGGCACCGTTCTGCAGAGATAGGCGAGAAGGAGGCGTGGAGAGGGGGACAGGGGTGGGTGAGTGGGTGACAGTCACTGCCTGGGGTTGAGGCTGTGATGTTAGTTAGCATCACTAACCCAGAGCAGTGATGCTGAGGGTGCCACAAGCAGGCTGACTGGAAGTCCGTGGACAAGTGGCCAGCCCTGCCTTGAGTCCCAGTCTTCCTGAAAGCTCAGCTCTGATGAGGAGTCTTGTGTTTAAGATTCAGGGGGGTCACACACCATCAACCAGATACAGGTGTTGCCCACTGCAAGGCTCTGGGCTCTCTGTCCACCATCTGACCCCAGGCTGCTGCTGGAAGGACCTTATATAGTTATATGCCTTACTCTCAGAGTGGGAGCCATCCCAGAGGAAGGTTCAAGGTACCCAATAACCACAGCCATGCACAGTTCAGCCCCTCTTCACTTTATAGCCTCTTCTCTACTCCCCCTCTGCCCAGAACTTCCAACAGGCTGTCCCTTCTGTTTGTTTCACAAGAACACTCCTATTCACACTGCAAGGTCCAGCTCACATGTACCCACCTCATCTTGCATCCAGACCAAATAGGATTGACCTAACTGATCATACTAGACTGCTTACCTCCTCTCCAACATGGAGTCTCTTTCCAAGGACCCTGTGAGCTAGGCATTGGTGGCATACGCCTTTAATCCCAGCATTTGGGAGGCAGAGGCAGGCGGATCTCTGTGATGAAGCCAGCCTGGTCTACAGAGCGAGTTCCAGGACAGGCTCCAAAGCTACACAGAGAAACCCTGTCTCAAAAAACAAAAAACTAAAAAACAAAACAAAACCAAAAAACAAAAAATAAACTAAGGACCCTGTGACCCAGTGTGCCATTGTTCCCTCGTTCTAGGCTCCAGTAAGTTGAGGTCCTAGTATCACTGCCTCCTGTGCCTCTGATACCCCTAACCTCACCCAATTTCAGATCCACTAAACTGATAACTCAGCCACCATGGCCAGACTTGAGTCCCTGTGCCCAGAGACAATAAAGCTCCAAGCCAGACACAAAGCATGTACTAAAGATTGAGCCTTTAGCCTGGTCTGTTCATTCAGTTTGGTCTCTGGTTCATTTGTATATGGACTTAATAAGGATGATTAATAAAACCATCGGCACACTTCCAAGGGCCAAGACTGTAGTAGAATTGTCTCAATATATCCTTGCAGTATGTCAAGGACACTTACAGCTATCATTTCACACATGGGGAAACAGAGGCTCAGGGAGTGAGTGACTTTTTCAAATTGCACAAAGTCAGAGACTAGAATTAGAATCCAGACAGCCATGCACTTTCACAGCCCCTTCCTGCCCTCCCCACTGTTACTAGAGATAAAGTTAGCTTATGGGGGAGGTCTGAGCCCTCCCAAGCCAAGACACCACTAAGCTTACTGGGATGGAAAGAAGAGCCTGAACTTACCTCAAGGGAGGCCAAAGTCACACTGGACCTAGTACCTTTGGTTGTATGGGAAAGGGGGCTATGGGTCCCTCTTAAGGGAGCACTATGCATGGATGAAGCTCTGACTGGTGCTGACAATTCCTCTCTACTCAGCAACACCCCCCCCCAGGACTCTCCAAAGCCTGGCCAAGGCCCCTAAGGTTCTGCTACACTCCAAGGTGGCAAATTCATGATAGTCATTTTCTAACACTCTGTAGAACCCTACCCAGGCTGAGATTCCTAGCCCCTGATCCCTAGCCACATGGTCATAGTAAGTAGCCCAACTCTGCTTGAGCACTGTGCTCACAAGTTCCCTTCTTCCCTCTGCTTCCAAACACATCCTACTCCCCAGGAGACATCATTGCCAGACTGTCACAAAGACATGTCTCCATTCTGTCCAACCCTGATTTCATGGCTGCTTCCTGGCTGAAGAACCTTCCACCCAACTCATCCACTCAGACTCTCCCAGGGTTTCTGTCCCAGAACTCAGGTTCTCTGAAGCACCCCCCATCCTCGGTGGATCTTGCTGCTATGTATTCCACCCTTAGAAGACACTTGTCTCCCTAACTGGAGCTGGCTCTAAGAGCTGCAGTCTGTATCTTTTCCATTTGCTATGTGGCTCCTAGTCCCTGGCACCAGGCAGGTGTCCAGCAGATGTCTGTAGAATGAATGAATGTACAGGTGAAGGGGTTTAGAGTCAGAACCTGGGGCCCAGTAGTTCACAGAACTAGGGAAAGTAGGGACCTCAGGATGGGAGCCAGGGAAGAGAGTCCTACATGTAGCAGGCATTTAAGTGTGCTAGGTACACAGAGCAGAAGGGTCCTCACCCCAAGAAAGACCAATGCTAGACAACATCTCTGCCCTTGGGACTTCACCCTGAGAAACTAAGCCCTTACCCCGGGGAGCAGCCAAGCCCTGACCATGTACCCTGTACCACTCACTGAAGAAGGGTCCTTCTCCCTTAGGCTTTCTGACCACAGTAGGCCCCCAGTATCTTTGCCACCCTCTGCTGCAGAGCCTCCAGAAGCCACTTACCAAGGCTGAAGAGGATGAGGAACTTGAGACAGACGAACTCCTGGCGGTCCAACTGCAGCGCATGCAGCTGTAGCACTAACTCCTGTGCCCGCAGCACGAGGCTGTGCAGCAGAGAGCCAGCCTGCACTGCCACTGTGCTCAGCTCCACCTGCACCAGCAGAGGGTCGGTCAGGGAGGTGGGCAGAGGGACTGGGCTAGGGTGAAAGGGCACAGGGCTCAGATCAGGGACTTGGGTCAAACACTGAGCCTCAGGCCCACCATGCTGATAGCCGTTTTGCCAGCTTTGTTCTGCCTGTTGGCTCAAGCTGAGCACCCAAGGCTGGCCTCTTCTTTAGTGGCAGTGGGGCAGGCAACAGAAACAGCAGGGAGCTGAAGGATACTTCATTTACAAAGGGCTGTCGCCAGCCCAGTAGAGTGAACTGTTCTTGTACAGCTAACTGTGACAAGTGCCCTTCCTGGGGCAGGGGAAGGGACAGAAGGGTAGTTCTGCCTGAGCAGAGGAAATGCTGTGTGTGGTCACCATATAGGTATAGGTCCATCGCCACTTAGTGCCCTCTCTCCCTTTCTCCTCCTCCTCTCCCCTCCCCCCTCTTCCGTCTCCCCTCCCCCTCTCTCCTTCTCTCCCTCTTCCCCTCTTCCTCTCTCCCTCTCCCTCTCTCCCTCTCCCCTCCCCCTCTCTCTCCCTCTCCCTTCCCCCTCTCTCCCTCTTTCTCTCTCCCTCTCCCTCTTTCCCTCTCTCCCTCTCCCCCTCTTCCTCTCTCTCTCTCACACTCTCCTCTCTCCCTCCCTTTTTCCTCTCTCCCTCTCTCCCTCACATCACCCCTTCTCTCCCTCTTTTTCTCTCCCTCTCCCTTTCCCTCTCTCCCTCTCCCCCTCTTCCTCTCTCACTCTCTCACTCTCCTCTCTCCCTCCCTTTTTCCTCTCTCCCTCTCTCCCTCACTCACCCCTTCTCTCCCTCTTTTTCTCTCCCTCTCCCTTTCCCTCTCCTCTCTTCCTCTCTCCCTCTCCCCTCCCCCCTCTCCTTTTCTCCCTTTCCCTCTCTCCCTCTCCCCTCTCCCTCTCTCTCTCCCTCTCCCTCTCTCTCCCTCTCTCTCTCTCCCTACACACACACACTCATGTAGATATATTCATAAGGCTGTTACCTGTTGGCTGAAGCTATGGTATTCATATCTGCATTCCTACACCCACTCCTGCCCTTCAATGGTCATTCACAACAATGCAGACACACCTTTATATGTATTCATGCTTACACAGTGACAGGAAGCTATGGACACCCACACATCTCTGTACGTTTAGAGTCACACAATCAAACATAGGTGCATGGGTGCATTCAGAATGTTCCTATAGCCCCTGTGTCCTCACTGACATCCCAGGTTCACCCCTTGGGACCGGTGTCCCCATTACTGCTTTCAGCAGCCTGAGCCATGGGAGGTGAGAGGCCAAGATGAGGATGGGGGTGCTGAGGGCCAGGGTAGAGAGCAGGGCCTGAGTCTGAATCATAAAAATACCCACTGTGCCCTCTATTCAGCCTGTGTCCCCTCCTGGGTTTCATACACCTGTCTCCAGGGGTTTTCTTTCTTCCACATCTTTCCCCATACCTCCTCTTGCCACTTGTGGGCTACCCTCTTTAAAGGTGTCTCCAGACCCAGCACTTTTGGGATCCTTCACCCACATCCATTGGCAACCTTAATGTGCCTCCTGTGGGCATTCAGGAATTCGCAGGCCTTCTCCATGGCTTCCCACCCCGTCATGTTGTATTTTCTGCTCAAAGGGGGCCAAATTCTGACTCTGAGCCTTTTGCCTACTCTCTTGTTTATCCATTTGTTTATTAATTCATTCACTCATCATTTATGAGGATGGAGACACTACAGGGGCTTGCCTGTTTATCATCCCCTAGCAATGACTACATCCTCATCTCTCACACTTCCTACCCCACAGGCCCTTAGCAGTGCTCTGAACTGCTTCTCACAGTCCTTGATCCTACTGTTCTCACATGTGTGACAGTGCCAGCTGCTGCCCATTACCTCAGCACCAGCTGACCAACTCTGCCTTATTTTGGGGAGAACCAATCCCACTGTTATCTACTACAATGAGATAACAAGGTTGTCCCACACTGTGGCTCCTCAAAAGGCCCCAGAACACAGAGAAGGATGGCTGATGTGTTTCCCTGAATTTGGAGTTCAGAGTGCCCAGAGGCAGCCTGCAAAGGTCTGGGGTCATGCAGGACTGGGAATTGGAACAGTTCAGTCACCTCCTGCCCAGTGACCAGCAGGATGCTGTCCTCCTTGCCGTACTGGACCTGGCGGTAGATGTGGTCCAACACCAACAGCTCACTCCAGCAATTCTGCAGTAGTGTCATCTGGTCAGCTACCTGTAGGAAAGAGCCATGCAGAGGTCCAGCTGGGGACTTCCTCCAGGCCCCTCTCCCTAACTCTCTATTCAGTCATTGATGGGACCATTGACTGCCCACCTGTTTACTTCATTGGGCTCTCTTTCAGGCCCCAGCTCTGTCTATCACTAAGTTTGTGACTTTACACATGTCCCAGGGCCTTTTGGGACCTCCATTTTCTCAATTATTCAATAATTCAAATGCTTGGAGGTGGCCAGTCACATGTCACACACCCCATAAATCACAGAGATTAAAGTCTAGTACTGTGAAGACCAGCCCTCACCTATTGGCCTGAAGGACCTGTGGCCACAGCTACCCTAGAAGGGGACCTGGGGAAGCTGCAGACACACACAGGGCAGGGACCTGCTTCTGCTACCCATCTCCTTTCTGGGTCAAGAGCCCAGGCCACTGTTTGTGCTGAGCCCCATCACTGTCATAAAGAGACCTAGCCTCTAACTATAGGCTGCTCCCCACTTCTTCTCACATCTCCAGGAGAGATGGTGGCACCAGGGAGGCCTCCTTCTCCATCACCTTTTCTATGGAAAGGCAAAACTCCAGGTTCTGGAACCCTCATCCCTGCCCAGGTGACAGATACTCGTGTTACAGATCATCAGATAGGGCCATGTAGGTAACACCAGATGGAAGATCTTGAAAAATCATAGGAGCCTCTGAGAACTTCTGAATGTCTGGGTAGACGAAGCCTACAGGGAAGTCACAGTGGCAGCAAAATAAATACAGGCCCATGAGGGTAACTCAGAGGGAGGCCAGGCGGGGCTGGGCATGCTCCACCCCCTTCTCAGCCATAGGAGCAGATACCCTTGTGTCCAGATGGAAGGAAGAAGTGGGGCAGGAGAAATGATAAAAAGGAGCATTAGGAGATAAGCAGGCTGAGCCTTGGCAGAAGGCAGAGGGGTCACAATGACCTGGGTGCCCAGCTCTGGAGCAGACTCTCCCCAGACCTCAGACCTGCGGCTGGGTGGCCCAGCATGAGGAGGCTGATCAGCCCTGGGCTGCGATATGGGGCTATGCTGAGCACTCCAAACCCACGTTTCAGTCCTTCACCTGGCCATGCACTTCCCTAAGCCCTGATTTCTTCCTGGTCTGTGATAGGAAAGGGTATGCCTCCCTCTTCTGCATAGAAAAAATCTGGATTATCCCCAAAGGTTCTGAAGAACATGTTGGGCTCCATCTTCTCCTTGACCAAGCAAATTTTCCTGCCATGCTCACCCCTTCCTGTGGGTGGAGAAATGGACACATGGACATCCAACACACACACCAGCAGCAGCAGCAGTAGCTACCAGCACTCTCCACAAAAAAGAGCTGGTTCCCACCTTCCTCTTGCCACCTTGTGAACAAGGTTATTTGCAGTCCTTGCTTGGGGTCCCTAGCCAGCCCAGCCCAGGGTCTGTTGGACCCTCCTCTGGGCTACTACAAATCTTGGAGCCTTGACACTGCAGTCTGCCTCCAGGAAGGGTATTGATGGTGCTGTACTGACCTCTCCCTCAGTGGGCCTCACTGGAGCCCCTGGGGTCTGATCAGTCTGGCAGCCAAGGCCAACAAGCTCAGTAATTCTTCAGGGTCTGACACACCATGGTTGGCCATGGCACAGTCCTGGCTGAGCAACTGTTTATCATCCCAGGACTGACAGACTTACTGTGTCTCAATAAACCATCTAGCTGAGCAATTATCTGCTGCCAATGGGGCCCCTGGGGAGGGAGCTGAGTGGGACACTAAGGGAAGACAGATGTCAAGATGGATTTCCATCACTCCCTCCAGCCTATCCTTCATGGCCACCACGCAGATCACCTGGTGAAGGCTAGTCCACCACCCTTCAGGTAAGACATTGGTATACCACCAGGACCAAAGTGGGTCCCATTTTACAGAGCTCAGGGGTGTGTGGGCCTTGTGTGGCCTTCCCTGTGTTCTTCTGGGAAGGCCTGCAAGTGTAGAGTCTTCATGCTACAAAGGGGGCAGACCAGAAGGGAGGGACCAATATGGATGGACATGTACTGAGCCACGTGTCAAATTTTTCACCTGTTCTAGCTCACCCAGCCTTTACAAGCCTCTAGGAAAATAGTAATTAAGCCCTTCCCACCTTACACATGAGAAAACAGGCTAGATGAATAGTTACTTGCTAAGTCCCACAGGCTGGTGCCCCGACCACCTCAGATGTAGCAGCACTTTCCCACTGGGTCCTGTGTTTCTCCATAACCCAGGGATTTGTTCATTGACAGTCCACATATGTCTTCTAGCCCTCCTGCAGCTTCCTGGGTCCAGTTAATTCTAATGTCTCCAGTGCCCCTCTCAGGGGCAGCTCCAGTCTCACAGCCACAGAGCCCCTCTCCCACCACCTAAGATGTGCCCTTCTCAGAGATAGACAGTGGTCTAATGTGGCATGGTGAGAACCAGCTCACTGGGCAGGCTTGATTTTTTTTTACCTGCATAGTTGTGCTCTGTGACACAGACCTCCAGCCTAGGGACCATGGCTCAAGAAGGGCTGCAAGGGCTAAGTTTGGGCCTCTTTCTCTACAAGGCCCCTCAAAAGCAGTGCTGACTGGGGCTAGGATTCCTGGGCTCCTTTTCACTGGTTCTGGGAAGGGGAAGCAGGAAGGTTTGGGCCACAGAGAAGCCAAAAGCAGGAAAAAACACTCAGCAATGCTGGGACAAAAGCCCTTCCCATCCTGCATGACCCGACCCCCCCCCCCAACCAGGAAGGCAGCCAGAGGAAGTGCCCTGCCCCTAGACCCGTGGTCCTGGAAAGCTGGGAATGCTCAGGTCCTCCTACTCTCCGTGTAGGGGATATCTGCAGTGTTTTGAGCAAAGGCGGGGGGGGGGCATCTTCCAGAGCACTCAGCCATGTGTAACAGGGCAGGTGGGAGAGCCCACTATCTGACCTATGTCCATCTCCTACACCAGTTGGCCTAGAAGGGCCAGTGAGAAAAGTCACCCAACACAGAGACATGGCATGTCCTTGGCATGGAAGACCCTCCACAGTGGAAATGAGAGCCATAGTCATCAGTTCCTGACTCCCAGAGTCCTCTGGGTTAAATAAACCTTGGGGTGCCCCTATAGGGCTCAGGATGCTCATGCTGCACCTTATTTCTCCCCATGCCAGGAAGGCAGTGCCCCCAGCCCATCTGGCCACATGCCCAGAGGAAGCCCGGGCAGAGTGGCGTCAGCACTGACAGCCGCTCAAGGTTGCAGTGGCTCCAGCAGGGAGGACAGCGGCCCTGCTGTTTATAGCTAGTCTCAGAACAGCCAGGGGGGCTTGACCTAACAGGGTCAGGCTTGGGTTGTACCCATGCCAGGCAGCAAAGAGTCTTGGTCAGGATTCTGGATTATGTGTTGGTGCACATAAGGTAGGGCACTAAAGAGTCAGCTCTCAGCCTTAGGGCCTTCACACTAATAGATGAAATGAAGAAGATGAAAAGTTCTTCCTGTGACTAGCCTCAGTTCTTCCTGCTATGTTCCTACTTTCTTTAGCTTCATGTGCATTAACTCTGGTTAAAAAAAAGAAGAAAAAAGAAAAAGATAGGGGAAGGCAGTTGCATGTGGCTAGTTCAAAGACAGGAATTTCTATCTAGTTTTTCTGCATTTGAGCATGCACGCACACACACACACACACACACACACACACACACACACACACACACACTTTATCACAGGGGCAGTAGGTTCCTTCACTTTAGCTAGGTAGGAATCAAGCCCACAAACACCCAAAGTCTAGACTCAGAGCCCTGCCTATGACAGCTGAGGGTGGTGGGGATTGATGTCCTTTCTGAATGAATGAAAGGATAAGACGGCTGGATCTATTTCTGACATAGGCTGGGGATCTGGGGGACAAGATGAGTGTTTTGAGGGAGCTCAGGGTCTCAAAGAAAGAGGGAACTGCCTGAAACCCCAACTGGGAGAGAAGCAAAAGTCTTGGAGGAACAAGGAGGTACTGAGAGCACACTAGCCAGGGAGGGGACACAAGAGAGATGGACTGAAGAGACAGGAGAGGGATGGGGAGAGGGCAGTGGATATCAGGAAGCTGCAATCGCTCGGAAGTACCATTGCTGACTGTAGTAGTACCTCCCCCAGACACTGCCTGAAGCCATTGGGCAGGAATGCATATACACACGGTGATGCTGGACAGCCAAGAGGAATGACTAGAGTCAGGGGGCCCCGGGCTTTGGGGGGATACCTACCTCCAGCTCCTTGAACACCATGCACCTTCGCGCCCAGTCCACAATGGAGATAAAGGTCTGATCTGCCATCCTGCAGAGGAGGCTGAAGGGGGCTGGCTGGTCCGAGCGGCTTTTGGCTGGATCCTGCAGGCAGCCCACTATTCGGGCACGCACCTGGTCCTCCTCTGGCTCTAGCTGCAGCAGCTGCAGTATGAGCTCTGGTACATTGGGCCCTCCTGAGAAAGGCTCTGGATAGCTGTAGGGTGGCCCTGACTGCTGAGGGGGGCTGGCATAGGGTTCTGGGTACTCAGACTTGATGGTGCGGTTAGAGAAGGCAGGATAAAGGTAGCCAGCCAGAGGCCCATGGGTACCAGGCATAGCCATGGGCAGAGCTGGGGCTCCAAAGTCACCCAGCGGCCCAGTGGGTGGGCCAGAGACCAGGGCCTTGGGCTCAGGTACATGCAGGCTAGGGGGTAGCATATAGTCCGGTGGGGGAGGGGGTGGCGGGGGCACCCCCATTGGGGGTCCAGTCTCCAGCTTGAAGCCATTGGCACGAATCTGTGCTTTCTTCTGCTGCTTCAAGGCCCGGTCTCTCTTGTACATGGGTCCAAACTTGTTCCGGCCACCCCTCATTCGGTCAGCACGCACAGCTGTGGGCAGGAAAAGTCAGTCAGGGTCCACCCTCCTAGTTACCTCTCACAGATCTTTTCCAAAAAGATGAGTCTCTGTCTCTGTCTCTGTCTCTGTCTCTCTTTCTGTGTGTGTGTGTGTGTGTCTCTCTCTGTGTGTGTCTGTCTCTGTCTCTGTCTCTGTCTCTGTCTCTCTTTCTGTGTGTGTGTGTGTGTCTCTCTCTCTGTGTGTGTCTGTCTCTGTCTCTGTCTCTGTCTCTCTCTCTCTCTCTCTCTCTCTCTCTCTCTCTCACACACACAAACACCATTCCTCCACCTCCATGCAATGGCCTGCTCAGTCCATAGGTGAGAGCCATAGCCTTAGCTTGGCACTCCAGGCTTTTCTCCACCTTCTAGTGACCCCATCTTCTTCCCCTCCTCCCTACTTACCCTTTCGTTCCTCCACTTAATACACCTCCTCACCCACCTTGCCTTCTGCCTGGATCCCTTTTCTTCCTCTCACATTTTCTTTCTCATTGCGTAGCCCAGTCACAGTGTTGCCACCTCCAGGAAGTCCAAGGATTGTCCCAGGCAGAACCCCCTGACCTGCCCCATAGTATACCGCTCAGGCTTAGGTGCCCAGCCGAGGACCTCACAGGGAAATGGTGAGAGAAAAGGGCCCCTAGTTTGCTTTGCTCACAGTGGGGGGTGAGGGTGCCAGCTACTTGTTGCAGACTTCTTGATTCTACTAAGCTCCTGTTGTAAGATGACTGGGGCTTCCCCCACTGCCTTCTACTGTGGAGCCTGGTTTAGTGCTGGAGGAAGGGACCTATTTTGCTGACCAGATGTTTTTCTTCTGGCCAAGAATGTGTCACCAGCCAGACTTAACAGGTGCATCTCTGCAGCTCGAGTGTGGATCCAACCCCTGCTCAGACAGGACCCCACCCAAGCTCTGAGGAAAGGGAGAGCTGGAGAGAGGGGTGGTGTTTCAGAGAACTAAGAGCTTGGGAGCCTGCCCGGCACAGATCTTCCTCCTGGGAGGTGGCCAACTTACTTTGCTCCCTCAGGCTGCTCCAGAGGCTTCTGCCACCCACAATGGATAGCTCTCTGTCCTCTGTGGACCTGGAGCTAGGGATGAGGGCCCCAGGTACAGGACAGGGTACCTCCTTCAATCTGAGTCCTTCTCTAGATAGCAGGATATGTCAACAGCTCTCCCAGCCTTTGGGGCCTTCTCTGCAAAAACTTTAGCTGACAGCTGCTGACTGGGCGCTCAGCCCGACTGGGGCCAGCGGGGTAGACACTATGACTGTCCACTGAGTCTGAGTCTCTCCTGATGGGCCAATGCTGTCCTCTCTGGACCAGAACAGGGATAGGAGAGAGGAGACTATAAGCCACTGTTCCCCTCACCCCAACCTTCTCAGAGCTGAGCTAAAAATGCATGGGAAAGGATCTCAATTCCTGCAAAACTTAGATACCTGGACAGATAGCTGCACAGGGTGGACAGTGATGAACAAATAGCAGCAGAATGTGTGATGATGATGACAATCACAGATACTCTGCTGCGCATTTGCCCTCACAGCAAGCAACTCCGGCTTTTTGTAAGCCCCCAGTCCCCCCACCAACACAGGGCAAACATTACTTTTTAGCTCATTATTTAGATGGGGGTATCTGCAGCTCAGAGGGGTTAAATTATTTATTTGCTCAATGTCCCCATCCTACAAGGGAAGAGGCTGGGATTTGAACATGATCAAGTTATTGAGAGCTTTGGCTCTGGCTGGTGTGGGGATATATAGGGACGGGTGGAAGTTCCTCCATCTATTGGGGTTCTGCTCTGTCCAGGAGAAAGGCTTAACCCCTGGAGGAAGGGAGTGCGGAGTCTCAGTGTGCAGCCCATAATCAACTTGCCTCAGTCTCCTGAGTCCTGGGATTGCAGGCATGGCCCTAACCCTAACCCACTTTTGATACTTCGGAACCGAACACAGGCAGGCCCTGCCTGCAAGGTCTCTTCTGGCACTTGCCTCCCTAGTTGCCTCTGTTCCCTGCAGAGCTGGGGCCCCAACATCACGCAGAGGGGCCAATCACCTGGATCCAGAAACTGTGCCTTTCCCCTCAGCCCCTCTCCCAGGCCCGCCCACGGCTCTCTGGGGGGCAGCAGTCAGGGGTCCCAGGTGTGCAGGACTCGCACCTTCCAGGCGCATGCCCACGGTCAGACACTTCTGGAAGCGGCAGAAGGGACAGCGCTTACGCTGCGTCTTGTCGATTTTGCAGCTCTGACTCTCGGTGCACGTGTAATGCTTGTTGTTCTGGACTGTGCGCTTGAAGAAACCCTGTGTTAGAGGAGGGAGTGAATGCCAGGTCCCCGACCCTCGTTTGCCGCTAGCACCCCTACCACCCGCAGCCTAGTTTTTCCCTGCTCCGTTTCGTGCTCACCTTGCAACTCTCGCACGTGAGCAGCCCGTAGTGGTAGCCCGACACCTTGTCACCACACACCGGACACAGCTCGTCCAGGTCCTCGTCATACGAATAGTCCATGCCCGCAGCGTCCGCCTGTGGAAGGAGGAGCGGATCAGCGCGGGCCGACGGCGACTGGCCTGGGTTGCCATGGTCTGTGCTCCAGGGACAGCCCACAGCATCAACCGGGTGCGGGGTTTGCCATCCCAGAGCAGCAGCTCAACCACCCGCCGTGCTCCAGCCCCGCTTCCATGCCGCCTCTGCCGCGCCGGATCCGGGACCCTCGGATTCGATGCATTTCCATCCTGATTCGTTTGTCTGAGAACAAAACCCCGATTCTGAGAAAATCAGATAGGTTCGGGCGCGGGAAGACCGACGCCAGACAACCAGGGAGATGTGGGTCGCGCAGCTGGAGTGATCTGGGGGCCTGACAGAGCTGAGGCAGAGACAAGTCTAGAGAGACCCCAGCCTGTGCTGCACAACGGAGAGGGGGGTCCCGGGCGACGGAGAGAGGAATGCCGAGCTAGAGACATTGCGGAGAGATTCATAGATGGTTGGCCGATAGGTAGATAGGTAGGTAGATACTGATAGATGATAGATTATGTAGATAGACGATAGATAAATGATAGGTGAGATCGATGATGGACAGATAAGGATCAGTAGATAGTAAATAGATGAACGATCAGTGCTGGGTAACGAAAGAGAGAGGATCAGAGGTTCCGAGTGACAGGCCCAACGAGAAAAGCCGTGAGACACAGAGTCAGAGACATAGGGAGAGACACCGAACAACGAGAGACATCCTGGGGAGACAGAGGCTGCCAGAGTGACAAAGACAAGGAGGATAACCTGGAGAGACGGAGGGGCACAGAGAGAGGGTCAG